CCAACGAATATACTCCCAAACAGACGTCTCTGAAATTTTCAAAGATATCGCAAAAGGAGCATAACATCTACCTTGAGGTAGAGTTCAATGTACACAGCCAGGGTTCTGATATTAAACGTGTCCCATACCGCTTGAGTATGCTGATGGTCCTCGTCCGAGGCAGGAATTATATTCAATTGGTTATAAAATGCTTCCTTCGGTGGCAGAACCATCTCCCGAAGTTTCTCGAACGAGTCCACGTAATCATAGAGGTACACTCCTTTTCTGATCACGAGGTCCAAATGGTCAGCGGGGAAGAATTTACTCGTCTCCTTAAAGTTAGACCTGGGTAAATTCTTGGACAATTTATCCAGACTGGAAGCCATAAAGCGGAATGAGTCCATAAATCTAACGGTTAAGATGCCCAGTGTCATTGCGAAGGTTTTTTCCTCCTCAGAGTTGAGGATGACGTGAATCCGCATGTTTTCTTTTCTTCTTCAGTCAAACCTCGTCCCAACTCTCGGACAATGAAGTGAGCATCGTAACCACTAAGATTCTGAAATAGAACGGGAAGGAAACAAACGGTAAGGTACAGGATATTACATTTCGAATGTGCTGGACCACGATACATCCCAGTGATGTGATCGTGATCCATCACTTTCTCACTGTCGGAAGTATAAGGACGGAAACATAGTTAACAGGTTCGGGATAGAAAGTGGGCTTCCATCTGCAATAGTATCAGGAGTAGCATGTGCCGCTTCATGGAGTACACCAGAGACACCTTATTCGCCACTTCCCTGATATATGCAATAAATTTCTCCTCCTGCTCTGAATCCTCGCCTGTGTATATGTAGGGTTCAGTGGGGAAATCTTGAGGCAAGAAGTGGCGCGGAATGTTTTCTGCAATCTTTATATAAGTGTAGAAACTGATGGGAAGATGCCTCTTGTAGGAAGTCGTATATAAAGACCCTTACTCTCCCGGCTGAATCTTTTTCAAAACTGATTCAAACTCAGTATAGACGATAAAAGGAATCCTCACTTGTCGTTGAATATTTCTAAAAGATATTGTCTGAGGATTCCTTTCATCGTCACAAGCCGGGAGTATTATTCTCGTCGGCTTGTTTTCTCCACAGTATTCCATGTGCTCCCTCATCCGCTCAGCGATGTCTCTCCCATCTAAATTGAAAAGGATGAGACATCGCTTACCGACGTGTCTTCCGCTATGGTGCCCTGAAATGTCTTTTATCCAACAAACAAAACTCATTACACCCAACTGGATAACAAACTAAAATCAGAAATTAGAAAATACAAAATTTACTAAATTTTACTGAAAATCTTACACCTGCCGACAAATCACTATGGACGACCGCTAAAGGCTCCTGAAATTTAAAGACTAACCATCGACTTCATACCGAAGATCAAACCTGGTCCAAATCCTACGAAGAAAAATCCCAAATTTTTGCTCACCACCAATTTAAAATTATTCAAAAAGCCACCAAAATACCTATCCTCTTACCGTCCTATCCCTCTTTTACACATCATGGGCAAAATTCTGGAAAAACTCATCTTATAACACCTGTATCCCATCCTAAATTCTGAACCACATAATACCTGATCACCAATTTGGATTCCGTACATCCCATTCCACTATCCAGCAATGCCATCGTGTGGTGGATGTTGCCTCCTCTGCATTAGAGCGCGGAATGTACTGCACGGGAGTCTTTCTCGATGTAGAACAGGCTTTTGATCGAGTCTGGCACCCAGGACTACTTTACAAACTCCGTCACCAATGCATCACCACCAATGCAGATGACACATCTATCATATCAGTTAATAACGATCCAATTTAGCATCTCAAACTCTTCAATCACGCATCACAATTCTTGAAAAATGGTGTCAAAACTGGAGGATTGAAATAAATTCCATCAAATCACCTTTACCCTTCTAATCACAGATACCTACCCTTCCATAATTAACTTCATAACCATCCGAATTCTGTTAGGGTGCTACCAGTGGGTAGTTTCTCAACAAGTGTTTTCATGTATTATATTCCTGTGTACACATTTAGTATTTATATTGTAATACAGTTGTAAATATCTTGAATAAATAGCTAAAAAAATGGTTTGACATTTTTTTAAGATTTTTCAGTCAACTAATGTATATACTTGACAAACGTGTAACACGGAAATAAACAGACTATGAAATTAACAGCCAAAAGTGAAAAAAAAAGTAACAAATATTGAGAAAAAATCCTATTAAGCAAAATAATAGAAAAATAGTAAGACCTAGTGAAAATGATGAGTAATAAATCATCAAATGCATCAGAAGTGGCTCTTGAGTATAAACGTTGCCAGCAAGTTATTTGGTATTCCTAAAATATTCGGCAGTCTTCAATGGGAAATCATTTTTCAAAACTTAATACAGCTTCCTTCCTCACTGAGAAATATGAAAGACAGGTTTCTGAAAGGAAGATAAGAGCTGCTAGAAGTGCAGAGGAGTTTTAAAAAAAAAACAGCAAAATATCGAAAACTCCTTTGGATAGGTGGAGGGCCTATTCAACCTTGGCTGAAGGTATTTTCAATTCACAATGCATATGTTATCTGCTTGCTTAAATGGATGCCTAAAGCCATCACTGCTGTCAGCACTAATATATTAAATATGAGCTCTACATTATCGAAGAATATTTAAAGGGAAAAAGGAATTTCGATATTCTTTGCCATCAAAAAGATGGAATGGAGATAAAGTACTTAAAAATGAAGAACGCGTTGCTCATAAAGATGCAAAAAGTGTTTACAAAGAGCACCAAGGGACAGCAAAGAGAGCTATTCTTTAACACTTACCTTATACATATACTTACTTTGATGTTTATCTTTTGTTTCATTGCATATTTATACCTATTTAATTTTTCCCAAAGAAGTTGTAATGCTAGTCCCAAAAATTGAGGTATTAGTCGTTCAGAAACAGGATGGATAAAGATTGAAAACATTTGTTAAAATATAGTCAATTTTTCATTCCTTTCCTGGATAATAAGAAAATCACAAAGCTCGCCATACTTTATGTTTAATGGTACAACAGCCACATGGCTTATCTCACTGATTTTAACCACAAAGGAAATATATATTAATTTCACTTCACCACAAGCTATACAAATTTTGCAATCATCAGATGTATCAGCGTTTCTTCCAATTATGCAAGAAAGAATGAATAAAGATGCTGTCTTCCTAGTTGTTTGATTTTGTCTTTGTGTACCCATCTAGCAACATCATAAAACATTTCGGCAAAATGTCATTTAAGTTAAGGAGGTACCGAAAACTGGTACTTCAGGGTGCTGAAAACTATTTTACCAGTTTTAATTGATTGATTAATTGATTTTAGCCATAGATTTTTAGAAAATATTGGGAAGATTCGAATAAAAACAATAGATGCAACCACATACATTTTACCTATTTCCGAGTTGGTACAGTTCCTAGTTCCTAGTTATGTTCTCTTTGTGTACCGATCTAACAAAGTATTAAACATTTGCACAATATCATTGTTAACGCCGTATACGCTCATTTCTTTATTTTTTTTAATTATTATTTTTTCTCACCATTAACCCCTTTTTAATGTGAATATTGGAATAAATATTTTTTTTTTGGAATAGGTCGAGGGTCATTGTCCCGAAAGTGTATTTAAAATTATATTATTATATATTTAGGCTTATTCTGCGATGTATTGTCGCGTTTGTGTATACGCTTCAGCCCGGCAGTAATACCCTGTCTTAGGGATTAACACACCAAAATACTGCGATAATACTGTTGGGGGCCAGTCTGGAAATAGCGCTTGTCGACACTAGACCTACGTAGTGGAAGTCTAACCCCACCAGCACAGACTCACCATATCTCACCTAACACCATTTTCGAGGATCAGCTGTTGGGCGCAGCTGAGTAATCGATACATATCGATACCACCCCACCATCGATTGCTTGACAGCTGGACATCGTAGAAGGTAACCAGGTGGAACCTCCAACCTGGCTCGTATTTTTGTTTATATTCTCACCATCACAAAGACATTAGAACATTAATTAATTTTGTTTTACCTATAAATTAGGCTTTCACATATTCTTTTGGACAGTTATTTTTTTTTTCTCTAGTTTTAACTATAATTTAGAAGTTGGATTTATTTATATATGTTTTTCCTAATGTTAATTTGTTTTATTTTCTCTGCATATTGTATTTATGTTTTATTTTTCTCGCAACTTTACACCAATATTTATTTTAAATTTTGTACATAATTAGATCTTTTTTTTTATCTCAATAAATTGTAAACATTCAAAAGGGGATTTTTTATTTTCCATTTTTTATTTATTGAAATATTTTTATTTTTATATTTTCTTGTGCATGCTCATTTTTTTTATGTTTTTACAGGTCTCATTTTAACTCCCTTTATTTTTCCACTTTCCCACATCTAAATTTCACTCGAATTTTCCCCACCATTGAGGAAACGCACCGGGGAAAGATCTGTACTTCGATTTTGAAGTACCCCTGGCCCCAACAATCATAGAAGCTCTTTCATTCTGAAGACTGCCAGAAACTGGTATTTTCGGATTTGGAAGAGGGTGCCGAAAACTGGCATATGGAAATATTTTAACATTTTTATGTTTTACGATTCAGATATATATTTTAAAATTAAAGATCTTACCAACTTAAAGGAATCAAAATTGTTTAATCAAATACCCACCCACACAATTGAAAAATGAGACAAAAACGTTTTAAAGGTTCATTGAGAATGGTGAAAACTGTAAGTTTTACTTTATTAGTTCACAAAAAGTTATAAATAAAAAGTGATAAAAAAAAAAAAAAATTACTTTATTAATATTTTCTTTTAATGCAAAATAAATAATGATGAATAAATAGTCATAAATAGATTAAACAATGATAAATTAATAAATGAAGAAATAAATAGTGATAGATAAGAAAAATATTAATGAACTAAATATTTTTTAATGGAAGTGGTTGATAAAACTTTTTAAAAGCCATGATTAACCAAAAAAATCTGTATTATACATATATTACATTTATACAAATATATATAATAATACACTGTAAAAAAACTTAAACTAATGTAAACAATAGAATTATTATAAAAATAGTTTGAAGACTAGAACAAAAAATCATTTAATACATTAATTTAGAAATACAATTTCAACGGGCCTTTATGTTAAAAAATGTGGGTTTTACCTCAACTTTTTCTCCAAACTCACATTGCTATAATAATATCAGAAACAATTGAACAAGCAATGAATTTATTTTATTTGTAATAGACTAAACTAGCACTCTGCCTGAACTGCTAATAACACGATGTGGCAGGTGCCACTAAAGAATTTGATGTTACAAAAGAATTTATTTTAATGAAATAAACAAAAAACATTACATCAATTTATAGCCAAATGATTGATTTCATAGTCATTGATTTCAGTTACTTATGTCTTAAAACATAAAACATAATCCTACAATGAACTACCCACCTATCCACCATCCTAAAATTCCATGCCAATGATTTTGGCCCTAATAATCTTCCGGTAAAACTAATAAAATCCAGTTTTCCTTTCCTTATTCCCAAACTTTAGCATACTTACAACTTTTCATTGCAAAACTTCATATTCCTATCTTTCTGGAAAACCGCTCTAGTTCATAGGCTTATGCCTTAAAACATAAGTGAAATCAATGAAACGAATTATATATGGTCAGCAAGGAGTTGATAATTTATTTCTTTTAGGGCGAATTTCATCAGGCTCCTGAGTCTTCCTTTTTTTATTTTGAGGTGTTTCTGCAGAACTTTTAGACGTGCGTGCTCTGGTAATTTGTTTTTCCTCACTCGTATCTCCAATCAATGGTACACCATCACCAAGCGCTTGAACCATGACCTAAACAAAGAATTTTTAAAATATTGAAGAGGAGTTGGTTGGGGTGTTCAGTCACAAGTAACAAAGTGGGGAAGGAGCAGAGGGGGAAGAATCAGTACTCCAAAGACCAACGGATGCAGAGGAGTAGGGAGGAGAGTTGGAAGGAGGGAAAAAATAGAAAAAATTTCTAAGGGTCCAGCCTAGGCAAAAATTTTGTGTGAAAAATTAATACCAACTTTGAAATGAAACCATTCTAAAAATCATTTACTTCCACATTACTAAGTCACTTGGTCCAAATAGTACCCATACTGTAGGTATCTGCCAAATAAAATATTTATTAAAAAACGGTCTGGGATCTAGAGAAAATAATTTTTTAGGGAGAAATTAAGTTGATATTCGTTTTTCGCACTACAAAAAACACATAAGTATGAATTTGTATAGCAATCCAAAAATTAAAATTTTCTGCACAAAATATTCTCTAGGCACCTTCAAAATTTCGTCAACAACCACAAAACTTGTGATAATTTTAGAACAGCTTCACCAATCTACATTGGTACCGACCTTCGTAAATAAATTAAAACTAAATATATAAAATAAAAATAGGTTAAAAGTTTTTTCTAATTTCTAGCTTGAAAAAAAATAAAATCCAAAAGTTATTGGTATCAATTAGAAGCACAGTAATTTAGCTTTCAGACAGTTATATTAAAGTTGAATTTGAAGACATTTCTAAAGTTATGAATGCTTTAGTTGATGGCCAGAAAAAACTCATCCAAAAAAATTAAGTACTAAAGGTTGTATTTTTTTATTCGTACAATTCATATTTAGGAGTTTTAAAGGGGCAACCCTAAGAAGAAATCTAACTTACTTTTTCATAACAAAAATTTACTTGGCCTACTTTACTGGAAGCACATATAGGTTTTTGTAATCTATGATACATTATAACTCATTTAATACAAATGTTAATATATTTTTCTTATTATGTACAAGAAAAAAAAAAAAAAGATTGATACATAGTAACCTAAAAAACTGGGCAAAACAAAGGCAAAACTAAATACCATAAATTTTGTTTGAAATGATAAAAAAAAAATTGCCTAAGCTCCTAGGGCTCATTCCTCTTCCTTTTGGAATTTCTTTCTGCAGTTCTTCTTGGAGTTCTGCAGAGACCGGAATAAGTAGTAGTTACTTGGAGCTAGGGCTAGTGAATAGGGAGGGTGGGGCAAAAGGTTCCGTCCAAGGCTCAATCATTTATTGCAAGTGACCAATGAGGTGTGGGGACTGGCGTTGTCTTTGTGGAACACAACACCCTTCCGAGTTGCCAGTTCTGGACATTTATTTTAATTTATTGATCCAATTATGTTAATTGTTAGTAGTATAGAGTTGAATCAATTGTTGGTCCTGATGGTAATAGCTTATATCCTACCATACGGAAAGCATTATCTTCTTTGGATGCAATCCGGATTTTGACATTCTTCTAGAAGCCTCACTACTAGGTCCGCAAGATTTTCTACGGACTACATTATCGTAAAATATCCATTTTTCATCTCCTGTTACTAACCTTTTCAAAAATGGGTCATTTAGTTGTAGTTTCTGTTGTGAATCACAAACAGAAATGCGTGTTGCCATGTTGACTTCGGTAAGAGAGTGAGGGACCCAAACATTAAGCCTGGAAACATAGCCGAGTTTGTGCAAATGGTTTTCTACGCTTGTGTGCAACACATTTAGGGCCATAGTAATCTCTCGCACTGATTGGATGAGATTTTGATCAACTTTAATAATGCACAGATCTCCCAGTATTTGTTGATGCCGACTTACTTCAACTATAGCTGATTATTATAGTTCGTGCTACAGACCCCTTTTTATCAAATCATTAAAATCCAGCTGAAACTTCATGAATAGCTTCATCTCATCTTAACCTACAAATATTTTATTTAATTTAAACTTATGTATTGGGCAGATAATGGCTGTTGCCCATTCTGTAGGCATAGCTTCCCTCTCCCAAATGGTGAGCATTAAGTCATGCAGAGCTTTCTGGAGTTCTTCAGCCCCACATTTCAACAGCTCTGACTGGATTCCATTTGGGCCTTTCCATTTTTCAATTTTCTCAGGATGTTTTCCATTTCATCCTCATCCGGGGGTTCCATAGAATTCAGTGAGTCTTCCTTCCTTATCCTTACCTCTCCAGCCACCGTACCTCTTTAATGTGTCTTTGAAGTGTTGGACCCATCTCTTTAATGCGTCATCTTTGTAGCTTAAAAGAGTTCCATCCGTGACTTTGCAGGTAGTCACTCTGGGTCTGAATGCTGCCCTACCCTCATTTATTCTCTAAAAGAACAGCCGACTTTCATTTTGGGTGCGCAATGCCTCTGTGTTCCCCATGTTCTTATTTAATCTGACCAATATTTAAAAACTTTTATGGATTGCAGCACTTATTACGGGCGGGGCAGTATAACACAAAATTGGGATCCGTTGGTCTAAGAGTTTTCTCTGTTGCCTATTACAGATTCCCTATTAGGTTTATGAAAAATGTAGGTCAAGCTGATAAACAAAAATCCCAAATTAATGTCACACAAATTCATGTTATTATTTAACCATTAACTATGCTATGTGTTAAGAAAATGCAGTTTTTTAATTTAGATTTCATAAAATGCTAGTTATCTATTTATATATTGAATATGATATGATATAATTATCTATATCACCGACTGATTACCAGCATCTAAAGAAATAAGTGTATACGCACTTAATCATGTCGGTAATGTACCAGTTGTACATTTACTCTAAGTTGCATAAAATAATCAATAAAGAAACAAAAGAGATGACGTTAATACTAACCAAAACATAACGTTTATATTAACAAAAACGACCTTAACAGTTTTATCACAGTACCTATTCATAATAAATTTGTTTATAGAAATTACAAGAAGTAAGGTGAAAAAATCTAAGTTGTCCTCGTCATCTGCGGAATCATTATCGTTTGTTGTTCAATGATATTCAGTTTAATAGAAACCCATCGTGATCACTTTCACAAATTATCCATCCACTACCTAAATAGAAAAAATTAATGAACACTATATATTCAATAAAATTTACAATACTAGCACGTTAAATATAGGATATAAGTTATCTATTCAGGAAAAAAAATTGTCCTAGCTATATTTATATTTGTGCAACCTTGTCCGTACAGTAGGCAGGTATATTCTTCAAGTTCCAAGATATTTTCTTCTGTAATCTTTTCAAATAGCCCGAATTTTGAAAACATTTCTCTAAATCTTTAGTTTTTTCATAAACTGTAGTGGCCTTTGTCTTTTCTTTACGCCAAGAGGCAGATGTGAAGTCAGATCCTAAAGATAAAAAGCTAGCAAGGTTTTGGCTAAGTTGATACCAATCTCTCGTTGAAATACGAGCAATCCCACTTTCAATGGTTATACATTTGTTTTTAGAGAATAGGAAGTTCCTCATAAGCCACCACCAAATGAAAATTATCCAATTTATTGATGAAGTTCTTGAGGTTTCGATCTTCATCAATAAATTTCACAAACTCGGCTTTGAAATGATCCTTTCCTTACAAATTTCTAAAATTAGATAGTCTAAAAATTTGTGATCCCTTTATAGTAAAAATATCTGATGTGGTTACTCCTACCCTATGTGTCTCATTCCTTCAATATACAATTGTTGATGACAATTTTAGAAACTCATTAGGAGAGGATCACTTTCAATTGGTGTTGCCTTAAGAGGAATCCTGCTATTCTTTAAAAGATGGATGCATAACCATGGAAACTGAGCAGGAATGCATGTATATCAATAAGAGAATAGTACTAACTTAGCCAAAGGCTTCCCAGCTTTTCATCTCTAGACAGGGTCTGATTTCACATCTGCCTCTGGGCGTATAGGAAAGATAAGGCCACGACAGTTTATGAAAAAACTAAAGATTTAGAGAAATGTTTTCAAAATTCGGGCTATTTGAAAAGATTACAGAAGAAAATATCTTGGAACTTGAAAAATATACCTTCCTTCTTTACAGACAAAAAGGTTGCAAAAATATCCAATGCACAAATATGACCAAAGCCAGGGCATTTTTTTTTTTCATGAAGAGATAACTTGTATCGTATATTTAACATGTTAGTGTAGTAAGTTGTATTGATTATATAGTGGTCATTATTGGTTTCTATTTAGGTACGAGTGCAGCGATTTTTTTTAACATCAAATTTATATTAAATTGGAAATGTGATAGAAATGTTAAGTATCGCTTTTTTTAATATAAACCTCATCTCTGTTGTTTTTTATTAAATATTTTATACACCATAGAGTACATAATGTAATGTTAAATTACAGGCATGATTGCGTGCGTATACACTCATTTCTTAAGAATCTATATAGATTACTATATCGTATACAATATATAAATAGATAATTAGTATTTTAAGCAATATAAAATTTTAAAAAATTACATTTTCTTAACACATAGCATAGTTAATGGATAAATAATAACATGGATTTGTGTGTCATTAATTTGGGATTTTTGTTTATCAGCTTGACCAACATTTTTCATAAACCTAATTGAGAGGCTGTAATAGGCAACAGGGAAAAAAAAAAACTCTTGGACCAACGGATTCCAAGTTTGTGTTATACTGTACCGCCCATAATAAATGCTACAATCTCGAAAAGTTTCTAAATATTGGTCAGATTTTATTAAATCAGATTCCTATAAAGTAGTCTGAAACTATTTGCTTCTCAAATTCGTGAAAAGTTTCCAAAATGTTGTCATATTTTATCAAATTAGTTACCTACTAAGTGGTATAAAACTATTCCAACCGGTTTTTGCCTGATGCTGATCGCATATTTGTTGGTAAATTTTTCAAATTTGCATGTCAGATTCGTGATCTTTTTTTTTTTTTTTTTTTTTTTTTTTTGGTCCTTCCCTTCCTCGCCGTTAAGGCTATACGGGATTTTCCCGGGCCAGGGAGTGTGGGCGGGGATTTAAAAGACTCCCTCGGCACCGGGACGCGAACTCGTGACTATTTTTATATCTTTAATTCATATGTCAGGTTGCCAGGCAACGGCGGTGCAGTGCACACGCTTTAGCACATCACAAAAGTGATCACAAAAGCTGTCAGAAAAATAATTCAGATTTTATAAATAGCATTAATAAAATTATTATGCTCTGAAAGTCCAAACGCCAACCATCCCTATAATCCTTCCTGAATCCCTATCCAGTGCCAACCATCCCTTTAATCTGTCCTGAAGGTTGAAACGGCAGTGGCCATGAGACCTTTTGTAAATATGTTAAAGGAGTCCAAGGCAATGACCAGCCTCTCCATTCAATGCCTGGATGTTTGTGGCTCAAGTTCCCTCTCTCAGTCTCTACTGGTTTCCAGTCAATTTTTTTTGTTTGTTTAGTTTGTTCTTAGTTACACTTATTAATTTTTCTTTTATGTATATACTGTATGAGTAGATAGTTTTAGCTCTATTTTTTTTTTTTTTTTTTTTTTTTTGTCCTCCCCTTCCTCATCTTTAAGGCTATACGGGGTTTTCTCGGGCCAGGGGGTGAGGGCGGGGATTTAAAAGACTCCCCTGGCACCGGGACGCGAACTCGAGACTATTTCTATTAATTAGTCATATATCAGGTTGCCGGGCAACGACGGTGCTGTGAACACGCTTTAGCCTGTTTGGCGACCCCGCCTTCAATACTTTTAGTTCTAATGCTTACTGCCTTTGAGTGGCACACTGTGTTACTATTCAATAAATAATAAATTTAAAAAAATGGGTGGACTATCCAGCCCTCCCCACTGTATTTGGCAGACCTAGCTTTGTGTAACTTTTTTATAACACCAAGAATGAAAAAAAAATATATAAAACGGAAGTGATTCGATAATGTGGAGGCAGTAAAAACAAATTCACAGTGGGCACTAGATGATATGAAAGTTAAAGAATTGAAGAAGTGCTACAACAGTAAGAAAGAAGAATGGACTAACACTGCATCAAATCTAATAGAGAGTACTTTGTAGGAGACTGAAAAAAGTTAGTAAAAACTCAATAAATTAACGTTTCAGAGCAAAAGTCCGGTTATTTTTGGGTCCCTCCTTTATGATCTCAACAAACTTTAAATATTTTAGATTTATATCAAAAGCTTCTTACAAATAATATCAACTCTGGTTATTATTTATAAAAAATATATTTTACTAATGAAACATTTACTCACTTCCATTTGAGCCAGCATATCCTCACCCATTGCTTTTGCCATATCATACACTGGTGTATCATATTTATTATAGATAATGGCATTTTGCACCATCAAAAGCATATCCCGCTGGAATTCAACAGTTGTTCTAATAACTCCATTCTCAATATTGCGTTTTATAGTAGAAAGATCCATAGGGCTATAATGCATAAAAAATGAAAATTAAGATTAATATAAAACTAAAAAAGGTTTATCCCAGTAATGTTCTACCAGAGATACTACCGTAATATTAGTTGATGATAACTCGGAGCTTCATTTTCAGTAATTGGTTTCGAAAAAACTGAAGCATATTTATGAGAGGCTAATCTGTTGTAAACCAGAAGAATGGATTTTTTCCATGATTTATAATCTCTATCTTCATCCCTAAAAATAAAAATGAATATATTATAAATATTATTCTATAATATATTAATTTATATATTATAATATATATATATATATATATATATATATATATATATATATATATATATATATATATATATATATAATAAATATATAATATAAAATAATAATAATAAATTATATTATAATATATAATAAATATATTAATTTCTAAACAACTTGAATAGAATAATCAAAACAAATTATAATTAAAGTACATGAGTTCATAAAATAATATTTTTAAAAATATTTAATTACCAAGTGAAATATAATCTTTCCCAAGGTAACTCTGTCTAAAGGGAAAATGATAGATAGGTTCACAAGATGCAGTTATTCTCCCATACCAGCAACTATTTACATCTCCAGCATAACTCAATCACGCATTACCCCATATTGTATGCCCATCTGGATATTGGATTATTAATGTTGTAGCAGAATTCTTAATTAGGTTTTTGGAGGTTATGATTGCAATTTGGTTTATTATTAATATTGCACTCATTAATTAATAACAGCTCTTAATACCACTTATATGCTGATGATTTTATAAGTAATCAATATTATAAAATAAGGCTGTGTTTATTTCTTCACCATATTTATTTCAATTTACTATATATTTTCAATTCACCATAAATTTCAATTTCGGCCGGTAAACCATCTTCAAGCCATTTTTTAACCATTTTTTTTTTCATGTAGTCCAAAGTCAGATTAAATTATAATTTAATAGACTTATAATTTAATCTGACTTTGGACTACATGCAAAAAGCATGGTTGGATAAAATGGCTTGAAGATGGCTTACCGGTCGAAACATAGCTATGTAAATTAAAATAAATATGGTGAAGAAATAAACACAGCCTTATTTTATAATATTAAAAAACATTCACCTGAAACAAGCACATATAGAAGTTATCAATCCTTCTCTCCAGCGGAGATGCTTGAGGCAATACAAAAACTACAACAAGTACAACCGAAGCTGAGAAGTTAGGAAGTTAGGCCAGAGGAGGAAGGACAGCCAGAGGAATGAGACGACCAAGTTGCTTTTTAAGACAAAAGATAAGTAAGCTGAAAGTGTTAATACGGTATTATGATTTTTACAAAACTATAAGAGAGTTCATTGGCAAGGAACCTCACCAAGAGATAAAGAGCATGGCGAAGAACCGTAAACTCACAAACAAAATTGCACAATTGGTCTGTTTTATTCAAATAACAGATAGTCAGAGGGTCTTGTTGGTGTTGGAAGAAAATGACAACTGGCCATATTCTAGAATGATTGTGTAGATTTTGAAGGAAATACATTGACACTGTTAATACTGAAGCTTCATGGAAAGAAATAAGGTACAACATAAATTAGAAAAATAGACAATTATTTTGAAGATAAGGTAATTATGAGCAATGATTTGGAGGTCAGGAACTCAACACAGTTGTAACAGTTATATATCCTTGCCTATCGAATAAATATCATATGATATTATAGTTAATGGAGATAGAGCTATGAATTGTGGAGTAGTGGCAAGAGGTGTGATTTGTTATTTGGTTGCAGTTGAGTGAAGCATCGTAGGGAGTTCACCGGTCATTTTAGCTGCTATGACAGCAATCTGTGAGGAGACCGTTGAGTTTATATCGACTATAAATAGCCAAAGTTGATAAACTTATTTTGTATAAATAACTTATTGGATTGTAGTGGTTAAAATTTATTATTTATTATTGATTCCCCCCATAACCTATTATCCTCTACGCAAATTCCAGTTCCCTTCCTTTCATCTCACAATCTAATCGAAATAACATACAACTTCTCTACTCCTTCAACTAAACCTAAACAAATTTCCTGGAGAGATCTAGATTCCTTAACCATTGAAAACATCATCCCTTTCCTCGATTCCCTTTCCACTTCCTTAGTTTCCACTTCACCCATCTATTCTCTCCCCTCCATTGATGATATGGTTAAATGCCTTTCCTCCAACCTCCTTGATTTCCTCAATCGTCACGCACCTCTAAAAACACCTACCTTTAGATGTCCTCCCGCTCCTTGGATCAATGCAGAAATAAGAGAACTAATGAGGAAAAGAGAAACTGCTAGAAGATGATACAGATGTACTAGACTACCTCAGCATTATTCCACATTTAAATCCCTACGAAAACTCACACAAATGACCCTACGCCGTGCCTAAGCCCAATACTTTAATAATGTTTTTTCCCAGAACCTAACCCTAAATTCAATAGGAAAATTCTTCAGAACCTCACTGTTGTTACCTCGAAAACCTGCACACAGTATCCAGTCGACCCGAACACGCTAAATACAAAATACTTTTTTTATCCACTGAACAAAGTTCCAACTCCTTCATCAGCTTCTGACTTCAGACCCATCTCCATTATATCTAAGCCTCTAGAAAGATTAATTCCCTCTGAGTTAAACAGTTTTCTTGAGCAAAACCATCTCTTCAATCCTTTACAATCTGGTTTCCATTCCCATTATTCCACCCAGTCTGCCTTGCTAAGGATTACCCAAGACCTCCAATCCACCATAGATAAACAGAAAATTTTCATCCTAATTCTTTATGACTTTTCCAAAGCGTTTGATTTTGTTAATCATGAGATCCTTCTTTCCAAACTCCAAAGCCAGCCCATATCAAATATCATCCTAAAATGGTTCCTCTCCTTCTTATGCAATCGATCTCAGACAGTTAAAATTCCGAACAAACCTCCATCATCACTCCTTTAATTAACACGAGGTGTTCCTCAGGGCTCCTCACTCTCTCCGACCCTTTTCTCTATCTATATTAGTGACCTTCTTGATGCCATTCAACACTCCAGTTACCACCTATATGCCGATGATTTCCAAATATACCAATCATTTCAACCTTCTGAGATGCCTGAGGCTGCCCGAAGGCTACAAGAGGATAACGACAGCATCAACACATGGGCAGAAATAAATTAATTAAAGCTGAATGCAGATAAAACTAAGGCTATTCTCATCGGGTAAAGACATCTCATTAGCTCCCTTCCTTACTTTTCTCTACTTAGCCTCAATAACTGAGACTGTAAATAACTACTTAGCTTAATATATCTATAAGCTCTCTCTATATATACGCTTGCAACCTATGTATGGTCTCTTCTATCATCACATGGCCGCCATTTTGTATTCCAGCGTATGCTTTTTATGCGGGCAGACGTGCATTTTTCTCATCACACCTGTGGATATGGTTAATTTATAAGGGCAAACCTTAGTATGGAATATGACACCTTTTTTGTAAAGGGCTCCAGGACTATAAGGAGCACCACGGGTCGGACTAACGTGTGCTTGCCAGCCAGTGAATTGCTACGACCGTTAAATAAAAATGTAATTTAAATAATATGAAGGTATCAATCATTTGCCAATATTAACAGTTAAAAATCATATGCCAACTCAACCATTCCTGAACTCTCTGTAAAATTGAATTTTTGAACAATACTACTAATCAACAATTTGATATCTCTAAACTAAATTTCTGGTTGCTATAGAGTTCAAAACTGAATATACAAAAAAACTCACATAAACAACCCCCATAGGCATCATAGCCTAGCCTACATTGGACTATCACTTCCCGAGATTTTTGCCGTCTCGACTGAGGTCATGGTTTTTCAATTGCATTTTTACTATTAATAATTAATGTGTGAAATAAAGATAGTGATTAATAAAGAGTTGGAGTTTCGATTTATTTATATCTCGATAAATTAATGGGAGAACATAAAAAACTATTTATTAAAATAAGATTTTTACTAAGTTGGAATAGCGATGTGGTTGTATAGTTTATATCAATATTGAAGGACTTATAATAATCAAGGCTCCAGCTTACATTAAAATTTCTTCGATGTCATATGTAACGGCTATAACAATGTATCAGCTTTAACAATGAAAACACTATGTTCGATGATTCAGATGGCTTTTATAATGTGATTTTGAATGGATTTCTTAGGTTTTTTAGAAAAAATGATAGTATATAGCGACAGTTGAACTCCTTAAACTGACAGAACTCCTAAAAACATTCGTGTTTATACCTCACTTATTGAGAAAATATGTTATTTCATTCATTCTCTGTGTAAAATCACATTTATAGGGCCAATTTCATTCCCACTCTTAGTGTTAAATTCATATTTCTGTATAGTAGTTTAATAAGAATAATGAAGAGCAAAAAGTTCTAGATATATGAAAAATTCTATATATGTTGCCGACTGGAGGAAGACTGAAGAGTCTAATAATATCGTGGCTCAAGAACTCAAAATAAATTTTAAAAATTGAAAAAATTACGAATCTAATTGAGAACATGCTGAATCATTTATATCCAAAAAACAACGACAGTCGGATGGTAGTTGGTTGAAGAAAAAATTCAAATAGTAGGTTTCTCTTCAGTTTTTTATGTTTTTAGGGATAATGAATCTGAATTTGACATTCCCGAACAAAATGTTTCATTGTGCATCGAGATATATATATATTTTGAACTTTACTCCGAAATTGTACATTTTATCAAAATTTTTATTATATACAATGTTAAAGAAGATAAAATTTATTATCATTTTTATACATAGCTTTTTGATGTAGTGCTAACAGGTGAGAAGTAAGAGAATATTGAATGTTTGCATTTTTCACAAGAAAAATCTATTTTTGTCAGTTTTCCCGAAAATTCATAATCTATGCATGTATTGCAATCAATTTGAAAGAGCATTAAGTTTTGTATGTACCTCATACAGACACATTAATATGTAAGAAAATTAAACAGAGAATCGAAGCCGTATTTCCCTTTTAGTATTTACCGCTCTCAAACTAAGTGCTTTTTATCTTTTTTATAACAGAACTAGAATGTATTAACAAATTACATAGCTTTTAAGTTGTCATTCATTCTGGGACATCTAATGCTTTTTGGATTAAGAAGTCATATGGTATGGAGGATAAAAATTAATTATAAAGAAACATCAGACATAACATTAATATTTATGGTAAAATATTGATACTTACGATGACGTAGTTGAAAGAGAAGGGCTGTCTGGCTTAGAATCTAAAGAACTCAGATATTTTGTCTTTCTACTCGAATTTGTATGTTTTTCATTACTAGATTTATCTCTATTACTAGTTCTATCTCTGCTAAGTTTTTCTTTAGTAGTTGGAATGTCATTAGATTTCTCCCAATTTGTCTTTTCTATCATCTTTTTGGTTTTAAAAGGCTTGTCTTTTTTAGTTCTTGGCTTATTCTTTGTTTTTGCATGTTTGCTTGAACCAGCTTTATCTTCAAAACCTGTATCGGGAATGAAAACCAGTTCTGCAGCTTTATTCTTCAATTCCTCCTATAATTCAAAATTCAAACATAAATTAGAAGTCATAAAGTTGATCGTACAAATCCACCATTGTACATATATGCAGAGAAAAAACAGTGAAAACATAACAGAAAGATAACATTACACAGCAAGAGTGACCTGAAATGTGGTACCAGCTCCATTTATATTAATTTCTCAACAATAATCTTTGAATTGTGAAGGCTCAAAATAAGTCATAAAAAAAGATACTAAGTGAGCTTAACATTTTCGACATATCTTTAAAGGAATATCCTTAGAAAAATATTTTGACCACTATGAGAAGTTCACGAATATTAAAAGACCGGGTGAGAACACAGAGGTGCTTAGGTTGAAAAAACCATGTATTGTAGAAAATAAATTGGAAGAAGGGAATGATCAACAACCTGGCAATATGGAGAGACAGTAGATACATATAAATAATCTCTTGAACATCTCATTAATATATGATTTCATTTCTTTAATATCACTGTAACCTCACTACTCAAATTTCATGATTTTTCAGGAGATCCACTAGAAATTTGAAATTCTTACTTGATTTCAACCAAAATGCTACCAATGGGTAGTTTCTTCAAAAGTTAATATTCAATATTCCGAATAGATGTAAGAATAAAATTTCTCACTCTCATTTTACTGTTATGTTACAGTTAATATATCATTAATATTGTTGATCAGAACAAATATGTGAACACATTCATTTATATTTATGTACAAATTAATATATTTACTTGTACTTAATTTATTTTAATTATAAGTTTAGATTATTATGTTATGTTAGCTATAATTTTTCTTATATATATATATATATATATATATATATTCTATTGTACTGCTAGACAATTTTCATCTTTTTGTTTATTATAATTATTCTTAGGGGACTAAATGTCCATACTTTACATTCTTACTTTGATTTTTTTAAGAACAAAGTTGTTAATTTCAATAAATAAATAAATAGAAATAAAATTACAGTCAAACTATAATACAAAATGAAAATATGGCACAACTTGGCAAAGGGGGCAAAGAAATGACATTTTAACAATCAAGAGAGTTTTCATTTTAACACACTGTTACTGAAACGAGTGATGTTTAATAAATTTTAAGTAAGAGAAAAGTGACAAAAGAAACAAAACTAGCCGTTTACCACTCAATGTTAGTTCCTATCCTCACTTATGGAAGAGAATCCTGGGTTTTATTTAAAGCAATGCGATCACAGCCACCTCTAAAGCATGGAAATAAAGTATCTGAAGAAAATAGAGGGGAAGACCAAGAGAGACCAGATATGTAACACGTCAAATATAAGTGAGTCCTCCAATCAGATTACTGAGAAAGAGTAGATAGATTAAATGGTTTGGTCAAGTAATGAGGATGGATGACTGTCGTTCAGTGAAGAAAACCATGGAGGCTAAACAAGTAGGTCATGACCAATAGAAAGGCAGACGATTAGGAATAACTTGGGAGAATAACATTAAAAATATACTTAAAAGAAAAGGGATCAGATGGTTGGAAGACAACGAATAAGTTAGAAGAGACTACAAATAAGAAGAAGAAGTAGATGATAAATTATAATCTTTATGAATATGTAAGTAACTTTTTTTTATGTACACAATCCTTGTCCTTGGGACTAGTTTCAGAATAAAATTGTTTTTTTTTTATCTCATTATACTATGTTATATTATATTATACACATATTTGAATTGCATATAATAACAACAATAAGTTAAGAAATTGTACTGATAATGAAAAGTTTGCCATTTACAATATCCATTATAAAATAAGTAATGACTAAAAACTTTTGAAAAGTAAAATAAACTACTTCATCATTATTGGTTTTGTTAGGGTGAGATGTTGTTGATAACAGTAACAGTTATTTTTAAATTTGATTTTAAGAATATATCAATTTTATTGTCTAAAATTAAATTCTGGTATGTATTCTAGGGAATGTTAATAAAATCTAAAAAAAAAATCACCTATTCATCATGTTTCATTATTGAAACTTTATTTTGAACCTTTGAATGCTACTGTAAAAGAATAAGAACAAAAAAAATAAAACAGAAACTGAAATTCAATTTTACATAAATGTAGACTAAAAAATTAATTTACTGCAATAATTTGAATATGTATCTTTAATTTGATGTTAAGGATACATAAGAGGTTTATTAAATAATTATGTTAATGTTCATGTTTAAATATTGGCAAAACAAATTTAGTTCCATGTGGTTTTCCTATAAAATGATTTTAAAAAAGAAGTAATTAAAGTTATCAATTTTATAATGAGGACTAATTATCCCCTTGATCTCAGTTTAGACCAATCATTTAGTTAATTTTTTATATCCTCCACCAGTTTTATTTTGAAATAAATAATGATAATAAATAAATATCCATAATTAACACTATAACGAGACCTATTCACCTAGTCCTATATTTTAATAGAGATATCCTCAACAAAGATGGTCAATAAAATATATAACAAACTATTGAGGAGCAAACTGTGATTTGGACCATACTGTTATTAGTATCAAACTACAATATATCAGAGATTAAGTAGAAAGAAGAAAATACAAAGTCTGTAATTTGAAAGATCCTGAAATAAAAACTCAAAGAATGATTTCCAACTACTGAGGACACCTGGCAGGCTGGACATACACATGTCTTTAGAAAGAAAGGGTAGGATATAAAGCAAAAAATAAACAAATGCAAGGATACTGAGCACCTGGAAAGAGCATCTCCAGCAGCTTCTCAGTCAAGATGAAACCATGATTGAAGAAAACATGGATCTCAACCTACAAGAGGTTAAAAAAACAGATATAGTGAATGTGGAAACAGCTATCAAAAGGCTTAAAATAAGAAAGGCCCCAGAGGTAGACAACACACCATCAGAGCTGAGAAAAGACTTGAAAGCCAAACTACTACCAACTAATATAGAAAATATGGTAGGAGGAAAGGATATCAGTGGCTTGAAACACAAGTCTAATCTGTTCTATTCTAACAAAATGATCCTGGTATGAATGTAGAAATTGCACTTCTCCCTATTGCCCACAAGATAATAAGTGTGTTTGTATGTAATGTTGCTTTTGTGTACATATGTAAATAGTGCATCTATTAATTTAAAACTGTTCACTTATCAATGTCAGAGAAATTGGACATAATAAATAAATAATCTATAAAATATAAAATACTTACAAAGCCTTTTCCTATCAGAGATCTAAATTCTTTCTCTTTTGTTTTCAAACCAGCAAATTTTGGACTATAACAAAAAAAAAAAAAAAAAATTAGACTGTTACTTAAAAATAAAGATTATAGAATTCAACAAACAAATTAAATTGAATTAAAAATTTCTTCAGTTATTGTTTTCGATTCAACAAAAAACACGACCCACTTAAAAACCACAAAACTTGGATTTGCTACGTTTCTACTGAAAATTGGCCCTTTTTTGTAGCTCTTGAGGTCTGCTATCACTCCAATAAAAGTTTCCCTCTACTTACCGGACACCCAGTATATATACATATATATATAAATCATAATATTATTCATGGGTCATTTTAAATTAAGATTTCCCACGCATTGTAATACATATAAATCCATATAATATTTTCAATATTATACATTTCTAGTCATCATCAAACGATAGTGCTATTCTATACTGTGAACTTCACTAGGGATATTACAATATTTTGCGGCTCTTAATGCCACTGACCGCATTTATTGTTTGCTTTTTTTATTTTTATTATTTTTTATTGGTATACAATTAAATCTATACCTCTAGCATTTGACAATGATGAGTCTACATATTAATCATAATTTAAAGACACTGATATTTTATATTGTCAGCTTTGTTTTTTCTTTGTTAGCAGAAACACACCTCATTTTAAAGAAGAACTAAATGTATTTTTTATTATTTTATTATTTAAAAGAGTATAATTATAATTTTTCCTACTGTACATAGTCTTAAGTGTTTTATCATAGTTTTAAGTGTTTTGTATATAGATTTTTTTTTTTGTATATAGCTTGTTTAACTAATATTTTATTTACTTTCTCTTTTTTTATTATTGTTTTATTTTGGCCAGATGTATTATTTTAATTATGTTCTATTTTGTTATTCTAAAGGGACTTTCTCTCAGAATAAAGTTATTTTCTATTTCTATAAATAAGATGTGAGTGGTAAGGGTGACCCATGCTACAGTGTCTAGTTGATGCCTCCAGCCTATACGCTCTGAAGTACATCCAGTTTTAAGATTTATGCAGCACAAATCATTTTTTTTCAACCACCCTTTGACCAAAATAGAGTTTTCAGAACTTTTAGCAAGAAATCAGATGAACAGTATTTTATTTTATTTTTACAATTATTAATTAAATCATCAGAAAAAATATGTACTTCATTTAATTATAAATATATGTATATTTATGTGTAATTATGTCGTTTATTGGATCTCACACTGGTAGACTGTAAGGTGTCAGCTCAAAATTTACATAATCTAAAATAATATAAATAAATATTTTTATTAATGATTTAAATTCAAATGTTACGTGATGCATGCACCACACCAGATTTTTAGTAATTGAAAATCTCATAATCCTCAATTTTATCTAGTTATTATAACATTGAAACAGGGCTAGGTAACAAAGTGGGGCTTAGGTAGAATAGTTTTAAACTATTTCCTATTTCATTTTTACTGATCTCCTGATATTAAAATCACTCGTCATCTATTTCATATAACTTAAACAATTTATATAAGATCTAAAAGATATATATAATGAGAACAGAAAAAATAAACTTACTCATTATATTCAGGAGGTGAGTCAACTGAAGGCATAGAAAGAGTCTCCAGAGAGCTGAATTTCAAAGAGTCATCAAGACCATCTTTGCTATCTTCAGTAGTTAATATTGAGTTATCTTCTGTCTCTTCAGTACTGTCTGATTTACTTTCATCTGACTCTATGTACATTTGACCAGAAGTGCTCTCATAGAAACCATCATGAGATTCTTGGGCTTCATGTGATTCTTGGGCTTCATGAGATTCTTGGGCTTCATGAGATTCTTGGGATTCATGAGATTCTCGAGCTTCATGATTTTCTTGAGCTTCGTAAGTTTCCAGAGGTTTCTGAATATCTTGAACTTCCCGAAATTCTTGAGCTTCAGGAATTTCTTGGGTTTTATGAGTTTCTTGAACTTCAAGAGTTTCTGGAGTTCCAATCATTTCTTGAACTTCATCATTTTCTTCAGAAATTTCAATTTTATTAATATTTTCAGCAATTGATTGCTTTACATCATCAACAACAGAACTTTTATGTTTTATATCATCAATTTCTAATTTATTTTTGTTTTTATCTTCATCTTTCAAAGATATATGTTTTGTACTGATTTGCTCCTGCTCCTGTTCATCTTCAGAATGTGAAATACCTAATATTAGATTATTTTCTGTTTGCTTAGAATTGATATAGTTCTTTTCATGTAGCTCAATACTCAACTTTGATTCTGCAGCTATATTAGGATTGAAAATAGGTGTGTCGTTTTCTATTTCTATACTACTCATTACCAATTCTTCTGAACTTCCAGAATTTGCGTCAATAGCGATTACCTGATCCTTACAACTTCTAGAAGCTTCTATTGATCCTTCATTTTCAGTTTCAGTTCTGGATTTTATGCCACTGTCTAAAGTGGAATAATTTAAATTCAAAGTGGTCTCAGGTATAGTAGACTCTTCTTCATCAAGGGAAGTTGTTACTGCAGCAGACTGTTGTGAATCATTGAAAATAATTATTTGATCACTTTTAGGAAATTCCTCAGTATTTTTATCAACATTTAGACCTTCATGTCTCATTTTTAAAATCTCTTCATTATGCAATTCTAACTCTTCCTTTTCAGCTTTTCCTTCCAAAACATCTATTGATGTATTGGTTAAATAATCTACTTTTGTTTCAGTAATTTTATTTTGTAAATCATCGGCGTGAACATCAATTTTATCTGATGGTTTTCCAATAACAGGTACCTTGACTACTTCTTCCTGATATTTAATCTCAACTTCATTTTTATTAATTACCAGTTCTATCTCTTCAGGTAATTGTTTCTCAACAGGTTGATTATGTTTGTTATCCAATGAAATACTTTGTTTTTCAGGTTCAGTATTCAGAACTAAGTCACCACTAAGAGGAGTTTTACGGCACTCATCATTTTCATCGATCTGTTTATGAACTACGTCATTAAAACTTTCGGTAATAGAATGATTATCACCTTCAGAAGTTGATGATACCAAGTGTTCAGGTGTTTCTGCAATATTACTATTGACAGATAAATAATTTTTTTTGACTGCTGGAACACTATCGGTTTCCAAATCATCTTTGGATTGTTCTTCTAAACACTTTCCATCAATAGAAACAACAACGTTCTCAACCGGTTTTTCTTCCCCAATAATTAAGTTATTTGATAATTCTTCATCAACCCTATCAATAACATTTACTTCTGGCCTCTCTTCTTTATCTTTCTCATCAAATGATTTTTCATTTTCATTTAAATCCTTTACTAATGAAATTTCTTGTAAATTATCAATATTTTCGTGGTTAATTGATTTGGGAATAGCATCAATTCTCATTTCATCCTTAAAAAATAAAAATAAAAATATAAACAACAAAATTTATTAAAAATTGTAAAAGTAAATACTTAAATAGATATTTAAAACATAAGCCATTCAAACAAATTCCAACCCTTTCCATACCAATTATATCATTAAAGGCACCTTAAACTCAGTAAACCAGTTTTAGGAAACCAAAAAATTACTGGGCTATGATCATAACTATCCTTGATGTTGAGTTCCATTCTTGTGTTATCGAAGCCACATTTATGAAAACACCATTTATTTTAAGATCCCACATTCTAGGATCAATTTATATTGACTGTTGTTCTTGAATGTTGACTGATTATGCTGGATTAGTCCTGGAACAAAGGAGGGGCAAAGGGGGAACATGCAGTGGATGGTAGAATTCAGAAGGTGACAAATTTCTTTTTTCAGGAGAAGTAAAAAATATTTGTATCTAAATCTGTAAGAATATTGAGGGCAAGGAATATGGAGTACTGCTTTCTATTTTAGCAAGAACATGAATTTAGTAATGTTGATTAATTAAGCTTAACCTTCAAAAACCCAAGAAGGAGCACAATCCCATGGATATTGAAAAAAACAATTGAATTTTGATTTGTTTTATGAATCTTTGACTTTTTTGACTCTCAATGAAGTTGTGCTCTTCTAGTGCATGGATTGGCACTTCGTTTCAGGATCAAAAGTAAAAAAACACAGTTTATCAATCTGCATTAAAAGGAATAGGATTTGATTCTGTTGAATGTGTGACTGAAAAAGTGGCACACATCCTGAAGGAGCTACCAGAAAACTACCAGCATTGTTTCAGGCAATGGAAGAATCACATGGTGTGTTATAAGGATGGAAGAGGGGTGTATATTGAAGATGATAACTAAATTTGTATGAATCAAAATAAAATTATCAAAATTAATAGCCACATTTCCTCATATGTATAAATATAGATTGTGATTTTTCTAGTTAAAATTTGAATTTGGTGAGGTTATAATACATTAAAAGTTGAGGAAGTGAGGGCAACACATTCATATCGGGTCAGTGACCATTGACCAGACCAGTTCCATCGTCAGCTGGTCCTCAGCCCGCAGCTGACTATATGATCTGATTCATTCCCGAACTTTGATGACCAATACCGATATTAATATTGACCAAAATCAAATGCCAATATACTAATATTGGCTTCTTTTCTTTTGTCTTCCTCTGCCAAAAATTTGAGCAGATATCGATATTCGCAGATATATCAACCTAATGACCTTTTTTATTGTTTATATTATTTTTTTTCTCCCTATCCTCAAAAGTTTTTTTTTACCTCTCCTGCCACAAATTTTTACAAATACTGATATTCCGAAGACTGATATATCGGACTTATGACCTCATTTGATTGTTTATATTATTTTTGTTCCTCACTTTCCTCTGAATTTTGTTCAATTACTATATACGTAATATCCATAGAAGATTCAATGACTAGTTTATTTAGCAATAAAGAGAATACTCCAAAGTGAAACAGTAAGCACCTCAACATAATAAATATAGTGGCCAATATATCGGTCTTTGGTATATTTGTATCGGCTGCAATTCCTATATACCTCAATCTCTAGAAGATTCATTGACTAGTTTAGAATATTCCAAGTGAAACTGCCAGCACTTCCATGGTATGAATATTATGGCCGATGTAGCGATCTCAGGTGTATTTACATCAACTACAATTCCTATCAATATCGATCCCTAGAAGATTGATTGACAAGTTTATTCAACAATAAGGAAAATATTTTAATTGAAACTGTAAGCACCTTGACAGATTTGATACAATGGTCTTAGGAATATCAGTATCAGCTCAAGTTTCTATACAGGTCAATCCCAAGACGATTGATTGACACATTTATAAGTTATAAGCAGATTTTTTCAAGTGAAACTTCACTAACCCAGATAAAATAAGGCTGAAAGGCCGATATATCAGCATTAAGAATATTGGTATCTAGATGTTCTTTAGACTTGTTCTCTGTAGACACTTAACTTAAACAAAATAATAAAGACAAAACTTGGTAGAAAAATCTATTCAATGTGGAATTTGCATAGACTATACCTGCTAATGTCCAAAATGTTATAAAATTAATAATAATAAAAGGCTTAGCGGACCCGAAGGTTCGATGCCGACACCACCAATCCCTTATTACATACCTCCCTCCACCTTTCCCCGTCCAAACCCAGTAGCTTCAGATCGGCTTTAATGCAATCTTCCCACTTTCGCTTCGGTCTACCCCTCGGACGCTTACCATTCGGCACAGCAAACATTAACCTTTTAGGAATTCTCTCGTTACTAAGCCCAACAACTTTACAAGCTCATTTGATTCGCTGCAATGAAATTACCTCAATTATATTACCCGGATACAGTTCACGCAATTCAGCGTTGTGTAACCGTCTGAACTCTCTGGTTAACTCATCCTTCTTCTGTCCGAATATTCTATACAATACTTTATTTTCAAAAACTTTAAGACGCTGCTCACCCCTTAATGTAAGCGGCCAAGTTTCGTATCCATAAAAAAAGTAGGCAAGATAATTGTTTTATAGATTCTAATTTTTAAGTTCCGGGACAAGAGGCGCAAACTAAGTAGTTTTGTCACAGAAAAGTAACAAGCATTTCCCGCCTTCAGTCTAACCTTAATTTCTTCTTCAATTTCGTTTTTTTTAGTTATCATAGAACCTAGATACCTAAATTTATCTACCTGTTCAAACATATTACCATCTATATCGATATCACCAGTAGTATCGCCATTTTTGCAGCTAACCATATATTTTGTTTAATCCACGTTTATTTCGAGCCCTAGTTTTTTTCCGGCTTTCATTAACGTTGTCGTATTTAGTTTTATAGTTTTAACTTCTTCGCTTAACAGTACCAGATCATCAGCATAGCCCAGCACGGATGTTATCCCACCCAGATCCAACCCTTTCTCGGTACGCATTACCTCCCTAATGGCATGTTCTAATGCCAAATTGAACAGGACAGGCGAAAGGGAATCCCCCTGTTTTAAACACGAACGAACCTCAAATTTTTCCGACAGATTATTACCGATTCTAACTTTATTGAGTGTCTCCGTCAAGCACATCCTGACTAGATTTACTAGTTTTTTTGGAATCCCCTGCTCGATTAGAATATTATACAGTTTCTGGCGGTCAATAGAATCATAAGCCTTTTTAAAATCTATATACAGCTGGTGAACAATACCGTTGTACTCCAATTTTTTCTCTAACATTTGCCGTAAAGAAAATATTTGATCAATAGTTGAACGATTTTGTCTAAATCCGCATTGGTAGTCTCCGATAATTTCCTCGGCGTATTCTGTGATTCGACTGGTTAAGATTAAAGTGAATTTATAATTTATTAATTTATTAAGATATTTTATAACATACCGGAAGGAGTGAAATTCCTCGATAGTTATTACAATCCGTCCTCGGGCCCTTTTTGTGAATCGGAATAAGAATAGATTCTTTCCATTCCTCAGATAATTTCTCATTCACCCAGATCTTTTTAACCAACCGATGTATTTTAGAAACTCCAGCTTCTCCGCATGCCTTAATTAGTTCAGTAGGAATATTATCGGTTCCCGCTGCTTTATAAGATTTTAATTTTCCGATAGCTACTTCAACTTCCTCTTTACTTGGTCCTTCTATTAACAGTTCAGCACTCTGGTACTCAGAAGGAGGACACAGATCATAATTTCCCGTATTTAAAATATAGTCAAAGTGGTCCTTAAACTTATTCAATATGTCAACCGGATCGGTCAGAATATTGTTATTATTATCCCTAATTCCAGACGTTACGGGCCCTACACATTTACGTGATCTGTTTATACCTTTGTACATGTCTCTTACGTTATTTTCGATTCTATTAGTTTCTATTTCAATTATTTTATTTTTAAGATACTCCCTTTTTTTATTTTTGAGCAATTTTGTCGTTTCGTTCTTTGAGGTTCGGAAGTATTCCAGTTATAAAATTAACACAGCAAAAAAAAATTTAATAAACAAAGTTATAAAATTAACACAGCAAAAAAATTAATTAACCACACCAGAAAATTAACAACTCCAATCCACTAAAAAGCAGCAGAAAAAGTAATTTATCTACTTTTAATAAATATATACCCACATAGTCTCATTTACAAATTATTTAAACCAACAGGCAAAAGCTAGTGTCAATTACCTACAAACAAACAGTTTTTGAAAGATTAGCAAAAACACTCAATACCAATAAAAATAAAAATGATTACATCATAACATTCAAAAATATTTCTACAGTGCAATTTGAGTAATCCTAGCTAATCTCTGCAGGATGATGTTCGGTACATTGTTCAGATTAGGGAGGATGTTCAGGAAAACTACTAATAAAAAATTAAAACTCAATGAATATATACGCCTTTACTAACAGCATATATACCTTTATACTCACTTGAAAGTATTGAATTTGTAGGTATAAAAAACATTTGTTTTATTTATTTGTTATTGTTTTTAACAACTCAGTTATTTGTGTTTGGTTTATCTTTTGAACTTTGCTTCTTCTCTTAGACATTGTAGGAGAACGATTTGCTGCCACATCACCATGTACCTTTACTGTCGCTCCACTTTTATCACAGTATTCTCTACTGAGAGTGAGTATTTTCGAATAATCACAGGAAGGTTGAATTTTTGAGTGTATATGAGAGCTAGGAAAATTCCCAAAACTTTACTGGATAGGTGGATATTAAAGGTTAAAAATTTGCTCCTTAATGGAACTTTTCATCCAACAAACTATTTTGTCAGTCCGGATTATTGGAGTGTTCAGACTACCAAAGTTCTGATTACTGAGATGGCACTGTATTTCATCAAGATTATACAGTAAACCTAAAGACACAGATAAGTTAGAACTGCAGTCAAATGTAGTATATGAAATCCCATGAGAAGAGAATTGTGGAAAATCATATTTGTGAAGAGTAAACCCATATAATAAATGTAGACTAAAACAACTCCAATATAATCGATAATGATATAAGAAAGTAAATTTATAAGCACATGATATAATCAGCTAGTGGTTTTGGTTTTTCCATCAGTTGTAAAAACTGTTTCATCTTTGGTATTGTAAGGGCTAATCTAAGACGACAATTTTGAAGAAAATGACATACTAACATAAAGCATTCTAATAATAATAAATATTAATGATTGTAAAAAGCATAAGCAGCAAATTCAAATTGACAGTGAGTGTGGTATTTAAAAGACACAATAAGGGGACTTAAAATGCCACAAAATTAAAAGAATTACATTCTAAGAAGTCAATTATTGAAGGTAGCATTATTTTGTTCACTGAAAATGCACCTCTGATTGCAAACTGAAAATTCATCTTCAACATGTTGCATTCTAGTTTTTCATTCCTCATTTCTTTTTCTTTTTTTTAGTTATATATATACTTCACCAAATATGCAAAAAAGAGTAAAAACATAAAATTTGGCTAATTGAATTGGGTGTAGGATGAAAATCCATTAAAAAAACAAGAATATTATAATGGATACTTACATCAACAGGAAATATTTCAGAATTTTTCACTGCCTCATTAGTTTCAACATTCTTATTCTTATCAACCTTAGATATTGATGTATCAATAATAATAGAATTTTCAGAACCTTCATTGCTAGATGGGACAGCCTGAAACATAAATAATACAAATATATAAAAAAAATATATATAATAATCTCATAAAGCAATATTTAATCTTTTGCAAAGTATAGATAAAAACTACAATACATCATGTAAAAGCAATTTATGGTTTAATCATATCAAGAAATAACATGATAATTACTTATTAATAATTAATATAGTCAAATACCAACCTCTTCTGAAGATCCAACAACAATCACTTCATAAGCATCTTCTATACTATCTTCTATGCTAATGTTTTCAATTTCTTCATCTGAAATGGAAACAGTATCTATCCCTTCATTTAAAACCAATTCATTTAAATTGTTTTCTCCTACAGTCTCGATTATAGCTTCTTCTACCCTTTCAATGATTTCTTCAACCGTTTCTAAAATTTCTTCTTCAGGTTCTTCATCTCCAATGCTCTTTGAACACAGATTGATCATGATTAAAATACCAAAAACAACCAAAAAACTTCAATGAAAAAACAAAAAATTGTTTTCCAAAATCAATTAAACTTAATATATTTTGATTATGAGGAATTTTTAATTTTTTTTTGGTTATCTTTATACTTAAATAGGTATGCATGCACACACAAAAAATACACACATAGTAGTGGTACTGCTACTATGAGTGCATATGTGTCAGTGTTCTAATGGGTTAGGTTGATCAGGGCAAAACTGAAAAAAGAATAATTTTATAGCTGATTGCCCGAGACTTGATTATGAGATCCATTCCAATATCTGTATGTTTTCTAATTCTAAAGAGGATCATATTTTGATATTCAGGAATTTAAATCAAATTGATGGAGGCTGAATAAATGATTTATAAAATATTTATTGTAAAGTATATGTTTAGCCAGAGTTTAATTTAATAATATTAATCATTTTGTGTAAATTTTTGTAAGAAGGTGAGATTGATTAGAGTAAAGTTGGATGATATTTTAAAATTATGCTTAGTCAATTGCATGAAAGTCAAATGACAATAGAACCAGGTTAAAAATATTTTTATAACTTTATTTGGATTAAATGGACTAAAATAATTCTATTTAAAAAAATAATGTGAAAAAAAATATAAATTCATAAATTAAAATTAATAACACGTATTGGAATATGCCATGATACAAGTGTCATGAAAGTGTGAAAAAAATGTAAATATGAATAAATTAATTTAATATAAACTGGATTTCCAACACAAAAATAATTTTTATTTGAACTGAAAAATAAAATAAAATTGTAAACATTGAAATGGAACCTCTACAAAATAAGAAAATGGAATAGAGGACGAACTGTTTTTGTGTTCTTTGTTAGCTGAAGAGGCATTAATAAGTCTGTCTTGCAGCGAAGGCCAAATATGTGACACAGCTATGTGGGTCAGTAAATTAAAGTTAGAGAGTACACTTACGTAAGCTACCTATAAATATTTAATATTAATTAAATCCTGAAGTCAAAACTAAACAAGAATGAAGACATGGATGAACTTAAATAATAACTATTATTTTAATTTTTTTTAAGTATTCCATTATATTAACTCATGTACAAACAAAATAATTATTATTCTCGGATACTCCATAAAAAAACATTAAACAATACACCTTTTTTTTTTTAATTTTATAAAATGTAAAATTAAAATCTCCTTTCCAAAAAAGTAATATCATTTTATATTTAAACTTTAGACCTTCATTCTGAGAGGCACAATCACATTAGGGGAACATAAAGAAGAGGATTACAACTTTTGTTTTCATAACAATTTTCATTAATAAATTATATTCCAAGTGTAGAATTTTAATCTCATTAGGTACACAATACCTCAAATTACTATTTTAACGCTCATACAATTTCAAAGATTACATATTTAAAATTTAAAAAAAATTATTTTATTAAAAATAAAATCTTAACTCTATGCATAATCATTACATCATATAACTAACTATAACTGTATTCAATTATAAACACGAGTTGTAAAAATAAATGTTTTAAAGCTACAATTTACTTTTATAACCTGAATAATTTTATATAAATTTTTATAAGATAGTGAGATAAATTAGAGTAAATTATGATGGTACTTTAAAATTAATTTCAGTAAATTATGTGAATGTTAAATTTATATTTAAAATTAAGATTAAATTTTTTCTGCATTTTATGTTTATTATTATATGTCCGTAGAATATATCATAGTTAAGTGGAAACCCAGTTCATTGATGACCTGAATCAAGTGAAGATGTTCAGTTGAGTCAGATCGCTGGTCAAGCAGAAATCTAAGTTCAGTTAAATGTAGAAGTCAGTCAAGAAAAGATCATAAGTAATTTCACAATGCATGGTTCAAGTTAGAATTATGAGATCCCAAAGAAAAAATTCAACAATGGAGAAATTGTAAAAATAAAATAGTAACTGTTATTTGTTTGCTAGTTTTAAGTATAGATTAGATTATTATTATTCACAGATACTTTACAAAAACAAATCAATCAATCCACCCTCTTTTTATCAAATGTAAGCTTAAAATTTTCTTACTAAAAATAATTTATATTTTATTTTTTACTGTGATTTTCTGGTTTTTAAACATACATATATAATTTTTTTTTTTTTTAATTTTAGTTTACACCTATATTTTAAAGGCCAATATGCCGATATATCTGCCATATCAGCCTTTTTTTTCCTTTCTGTCAAGGTTTGTACAGTTTCACATAGAATATCCCATTTATTGCTAAATAAACGAATAAATAAACCATCTATGCATCGGCCTATTAACAAATTTCGGTTCATAAAAAAGCGATAAACCTATATATTAGCATATCGGCCTTTATATATATCTACTTATTGGCTCAAGTATACGTCAAGGTTTTTCTGAAATGTTCTCTAATTAAATGAAAATTGACCCTAAATTCAAGGTAACAGATATTTCGATTAAATCTTGAAAACTTTATTTTCAGGCAAACTCAGAGCTTTTAAGTTACTTCAAAAGTTATTTATTTTTTTTCTACTTTTGGGATGGGAGACACAGTACAGTTTTTATTAATAAGAATTGAAAACTCATTCAGTTATTATCACACATTTTAAAGATGAAATATCTATGTAGGAACTAATTTAACTATGATTTATTCTTTTGGAGGTATGCACTTTGGGATTTGAAAATTGGTTAGTTATTAGCAGTTCTTCTTCCATATTTTTCTCCTCAGAAAATTAATTTAAAAAAAAAAATAGTAATATAGTCAACTAAATAAATATTTTGTGTGTGTGTATTTATATATACCAAATTTGTAAATATGAAATCGGAAATCATCCATAGATGTCTCTAACAGGTTAATGTAGTTACAGTTAAACTCCAGTGTTAGGGTCATTTAGTTTCTTCAACAGCTGGCAACGATTTCCAACTCACAACAAAAAATTTCATATAACAGCATAATTTCAATAGAGTTTAAAATCCCAAATATATTTAATAACTAAAATTTGCGGATAGCATTAGTTTTCTGTTGCCATCAAAAACTGCTGAAGAATCACAGTGAATGCTTGTCAAAGCTATGCTCTTAAAAAACCACAGTGGTTTGAGCAGTATGAAACAATCAAAAATGAAGATTTTTATTTGAGATGTAAAGAACATGGAAGACTAACAAAAAAAGAGCTACTAAAACCTGGCAAAACCGTTAATATTGAATGCCATTGACAACAAATGATCCATTGGAATCAAGTATTGCATGAAAACCAACAAGGATACAAAAAAAAAAAAAAAACACAAAGTGATTTTATTTCATGATAATGGACCATCAAACACAGCAACACCAGTGAAGTAAACCATTGAGGGGTTTAGTGGGAAAATACTAGCACATGTGGCTTATTAACCAGATTTGGCCCTGTTCTACTATTATTCATTTGCATTGATGAGGCATGCTATTGCTTAGTAGTGCTTCACTTATTATGAAAATGTATGCAAATGGCTTGACAACTGTTTAGCCACAGAAGAACAAAAGTTTTTCTGGCATGACATTCATAAAATGCATGGCAGATGGGAAAAATGTATAGCTAGTGGTAGACAATATTCCGAATTAAATATTTGCTAAAATTTGAATGCAATAAACGTATATTTTTTATCTGAAATTCCCCTTTCTTACTTATATACATGGCATACATATATATATATATATATATATATATATATATATATATAATATATATATATATATATATATAATATATATAGGGATATTTTTAGTTCCAAAATTAAATTTTTATTTAGGTTTAAAGATATAAACCTTGGGGCTATCATCGCCATGATCTTTATACTTAATACAGAGAAAAAGTTATAAGTATTGTATTTTGGCTAAGAGCCTATGTACACTAGAAAAAAATATTAATGATTCTATCATATTTTTGGGAGTGGGGTAGCTCAGTGGTAGGGTACTGAGCTTCCAAAGCTAAAGGTCCCAGGTTCAAGCACCGGCTCATGGCAGAAAATTTATTTATCTGTTACATTAGCCGTGGGGCGACACTGGGTCGGGAGACCCTCCTGGGGCACACCCAGCCTCTATAAAGTGGGTACCCTTAATTAAATAATTAATCAAGGGGGAAAATCTGGGGGTTGAGCGTGATCTCGGTCAAATCACCTCCTTGCACAACCGTAGACCTAGAAACAGTGCTTTCCCTAAATAGTACTGAGCCCAAGACCCTTCATGGGTTGTAGTGGTAGGTTTTTATCGTATTTTTATTGATATTGAGAATCTGTGATATGTTGGAACTGAGTCTTGAATTAATAAATATGAAGTATATGAAAAGTATTATCAAATGCTTTTTTTTTTTTTTCTATTTCCACAAAAATATCCAAAATTCTTGTCTCTTAGGAACAAAAAAAAATGTTAATCTAGGTCTAATTATAAAAAAAAAATTAAAATGAAAAACAATAGTGATAGGCTAAAGAATTAACAGAATTACTAATGCAAAAGAACAACATACACAAAACTATTTCCCATAACTAACATAACTGTTTTTTTTAAAGCCACTAGTACAATCAGCTAAAGAATTTGATTCTATAATTGATGTAATTTCTAGAGCAAAATTGAGACTTTAGAAAATAGTGGCGACATTACACAGTGATTAACAATGATAGAGTAAACAATTGGAGGAAAACTGAATTAAAGACAGGCTTAACACTATTAGAAACCCATCGTTACCTTTTTGATAAAATAACAGCCTATAAACTAATTCAGTTTTTGATGAATTTATAATAATTTGTTTTCATTCCATGGGTAGATAGAATAATTGTTGAAAGTTAAGAGAGTGATTGATCAGTAACAAATAATAATAATAATAATAATAATAATAAAATTATAGCAGAACTTAAAAAATAGTAAAGTTAAGAAAAAGAAAACTAATATAAATACCTCATAATCCAATCTTCTGGGTGTGAGCCTTTTTACAGGAGAGGATTCATTTTCTATAATAACTTCTGATTCTACAACCCCTAACATTAAATTTTAAATTAAACTGAGGCTTCAATGAAAACCTTATTCATCAATAAATATAAAATAAAGAAAGACAGTAAGAAGAGATAATATACTCACTAATAATTATTCAAATGTGAAAATCTTTTATATCATTCAATATAAAATTAATTTGCCAGAAATCAGAACAGTTTTTTTGTTTATCACTTAATATAAAAGTAATCATTTTATAACTTTAATTTAATTTCTTTTCCAATACTAAAGTACTAAAGAAAACAATTTTAGAAACATATATGAATCTCAATTATTTATGGTTAATAGGTAAAGATAATAGGATACTTCATATGTACTAACTTTAACCGTCAGAGCATTCAGTAAATATTTTGTGTGTAACCTTTGGTGGTCTTCCTGATAGGCCATGCTCTTTACTTGGGAGTGCTGTATGTTCGCCCAAAACTTGAGCCGAGTTATTGAATGGATAATGGCCTATCTGATAAGGCACTTTGTTAAAATCTATTAAAACTAAAATGGAAACTGACGTAACATTTAAAACCAATCAATTCAATTAGGAGTCTATATATCTAAATACCGATAGAAAAAAAATACATTATTATAAAGGAATATAGATTCCTTATAGAATATACATATATTCGGCAATTACAGAGGACCCTCGACCCAAGGGATCCCAACATCGATTTATATTATTTATACTTAATAAATTTTTAACTACACATACACTACTTTATAATCATTTACACTAGAATCCTTTTACTTTTACCCAGAAGGCTTATACATATTACCCTACCTACTTTTACCATTTTGTTTTCTTCGAAAGTCTGTCATAAATAAGATTTTATTCAAAACAAATGAAATGTAATAATTACCCTTAGCACTTCAACAACCTTTTATTTAAATATAAGGAAACTAGATTTCATGCCCAACTTTATTTGACCCATTCTAGCCCCCAATTTTTATAATATAATTAAATTATGACATACAAAATTATGTCATAGCAACTTATTCCTTAATTATGTACCTTTTCATTCTAATTTATAGATAACTTGATAATGAGGCAATGGGGCTTGAAAAATTGTTTCTTGGTGTTTCAATAAATGGATCTTGAAGTGATAAGGGTAATTATTCCTGAGAAAAGCTCTGTGATATCAGTAAGTACCCTTAAAAAATAGAACTGCAGTTAATAATTAAATAGTATAAAGTGAAAAGTAAAATGGAAATAATTAGTGGCTCAAAAAGATATTTGATCCTGAAAGCACTTTTTATGATTTTAATATTCAATTCCCACAGTGTCTTCTGCAGAAAATGGAGCCTAATTTGAACAAGTAGCATAATTGGCATAATAAGTAAAAGAAGTATCGAACTTCAAGCAATCGATAGGATCTGTCTTTATTAACTTTAAGATTGGGTATGACATAACAGCCACAAAAAGCTGCTGGTCGAAAAGATCATGGATCTGGGGCTCAAGAGGAGGATCATAAAATGGATGAAATAACTCTACAAAAGATTTTTCCGGGTCAGATAAATACTGGAACATTCTTTGACGGTGCATGGTGCTCAGTACAGCCTTTTTAACTTTTTAAATGTTACAACACTTGAATGACAAAATAACAAACACGAATAACACAGGATGTATACAAAATGGAATATCATAAACAAAAGCATCCAAACCAAAATCATACTAAACTCTACAAGGTTCTACATAGTTTAAGCACTTTCATGCACCAATTAAGTTCTACTTAGTTCAGGGCAGTTCTGCACACCCAGTGTAGATATGGCTCTGCAGAACTATTCTGGTTGATTGGCTTTAATGATACAATTAAGCACTTACCCCACATTATCATATTATTTTTACCTCACTTAATATTGGTAACATGAGTTAAAATATGATAAGCACTTGACATCAATAGTAAAATTTTATGAGAATTAATAGATTACTACACAGGTATCATCATTTAAATTAAAAAAAAAAACAATAAAAGAATCATTTTTAATACCTTGTTCAATATCACTCATATCATCAAAACCTTCAGTTCTTTGAAATTCCATATGATCATTAACTCTTGGAACCAAAATACCTTCACCACCATTCGATTGTTTCTCTAAAGTAAATAAAAAAAAATCAAGATTTACAATTTCTTTGTATTTGAATAATAAAACAATTAAACATATTAAGTAACTATTAATTCACAGCTATGAGAGCATTAAAATAAAATAAGATAAAATAAAAACAGAACTATTTATTTATTTGAATTTAATTTAGTGAAGTACTAACTTTTAGTTGCAGCTGAGCTTGGCGGGGGGGAATCCAAAACGACTCCTTGAAAAAGAAATGAGGGACTGTCTATTGAAGCAGTGGAAGATGTACTAGACAAAGTAATCGGTGATTCAAGGAGTTTAGATAATGTTGGATCTTAAATTAAAAATATATAAACATGAATAAATATAAATTATATCTCTGACAAATCTACTTAACTACAAATGTTTATAAAGATCTAACCTGTTAATGAAGGGGATGGTGAGGAATGGAGCAGTAATGAAATTGTGGGAGATGACGTAGATGGTGATGGCCTTACTAATGGAGATGGGCTTTGAAGGAGGCTGGTGAGAAGCGGAGAAGTAGTAATATTGGCAGCCTTATGTTCACTACTAGTTGATGGCTCATTAGGCAGCTTTGAAATAAATAGTAATAAAACAATTATTAAAAATATAGCAGTCATAACTTAATTTTTTTCATAAATTTCTAATTTTTGGAAAATTTCCAAAATTTATTAAAATTAAATTTAATAATAAATTTATATATGGTGTCTTCAGGGACTGATGAATCCTTATAATTTTACTACTAATTCATGTCATAACAAAGTTCATAAAATGTGAGGAACATGGTGGTTTTTACATTTTTTGGACTTGAATAAATAAATAGAATCATATAATGGAAAAATAAATACATAAATAGAATTATATAATGGAGATATGTTGGAATTTATGGAAATTTTTGTTGGATTTTGATAACTTGAAAATGAGCCAAAAGGCTCGAAATGTTGTTATGACTTGAATAAGCAGTAAAATTATAAGGGTTTATCAATCTTTTAACACACTGTATAAAGTACATTAATATTTATGCAAATTAATACCTAATATTTAATTTAAAATACAAAAAAAAAATTAATTCACAAACAAATAAAAAAATGCTAAAATTTCTTTCTATTCAAATTAATTTTAATAGCTTGTGCTACTCTCTGTGGTATGAATTATAATGATAAATTCTTTTTGAATTCACTTAAAGAGATTATTGATCAATTCCTTCAATATATTGTCTGACTCTTCAATAGCAGGTGTTTCCAAATTTTCATGTGCAGTAAGAATGGATTTCATGCATCATAAACAGAACTTGAACAGTACTACAAAATGCACCATTGGGACTGAAATATACTGAGATCTGTATTGCAGTGCATTTTCATGCTCCAGTTAGTAAGTGTTTCCACTGTAGAGGTCGAATGGCACTCTGAAATGTTCCTTCTGAGTATTCCTTGTAGCTCTGAACATTTAAGGACTTGCATTTCAAAACCAAGAAGAATTGAATGAAAATCTATAAAGAAATTCGTGTTTAAACAATCCAAAAGTAATTTGTTGATTCATAATGCTTCTGATAATTCTGCTTTTAAAATTCACATATTATACAAAATCGTCCCAAGAATTATTTTATTTTTTTTTTTAAGGGAGATGGGCACCTGACTCCAATGACCAAACTTGCAATAACTCAACATCATATAAACTAGATTATTGATTGATTGACTAAACTCGAAAATATTGGTTCTCATAATTCTTAATCATTTTGTCTAATACCTTCCAAAGAAATACATTAAAACACACTAAAACGATTGAGAAATAATACAATTTAGATATGATGATATTGATGATGAATAACAAACAGTAGACAAATTATCAATTACAAATGCATTATTAATTTTAAAACAACAGTTTTTATTTTATTTTCATGCATCTTATATTAAAGAACCTTATAGTTCAAACAGACTAGATTTTTTTGGCTATTGGGTCTTTAGGAAAACAGTAGGGAAGAATGCATTATGTAATTAATTTTAAAATATTTTTTAGAGAGTGGATGTAAATAATAATTTTAAAGAATGATATATCAATAGGCAAAATTTGGTTATTAATAACTTACCGATGAAAATATTCTTCATCATCTTTCCAATAGTTACAACCAATGTTAACATTCCTACTCATTTATTAAAACTGAATTAACCCTATTAAAACAATATTTGATAACAAAAAAATAAATACTACAAGTGGTCCAGTGGATAAATAATTAATGCTTAATAAAAGCAAAGAAAAACCTTTGGGCCAGAGTATTGATGGGAATCCTAGGGGTGGGGGTAACATGGAAACATGTTAACATGTGGGGGTACCTGGAAACATTACACTTCCCATCATACCCACTCTAGTTTATTCTAGACTCTATGGTTCACAGGGTTGACCTAATGGAAAGGATAATCATAAAATTCATGGTTGTGAAAAGGTGGAAGAATTGAGTTTATATCGCCTCAGAAGTAAATAGGAATTGACTGTAGAGTAGAGAATAGTGCTAACAAAAATATTTTTTTTTGTCCAGGAACACCTTTTCAGAAGCCATAATCTTACTGGAACTATACAACTACTATATATACTAACTATATTTACTATACATACTAAAATACTAAGTTAAGATTATATAAAATCCTAATCCACCATGTCTTGGTGTATGGCTATGAGATATGAACTATCTCAAATTCAAAGGAGTGAAGACTAGTTCAAGAGGAAATCTATATGCCAAATATACATTTCATATAGAAGTGGGTAAAAATAGTAGGCAAAGGAGTAACCTTTAGTTATACAAATTAAGGAGCCGGACATTATGAGTCACCTGCATAGAGAGGTTTGGATTGGGTAAACGTGTTATGTTGCCAGGATGACCAAACTAGTTGTGTTCACAAAAATATGATGTCAGATGAACTTAATGGATGGACAATCATCAGAAAATCGAAACTATGCGATGCAGAATTAGAATGCAACTGCACAGGATAAGGAAGGATGGCAAAAGCTGGGCTACTGATCATGAAAAGATTGAAACAAGTACTTAAAAATAATACAAAATATTTAAATTTAATTATATAAACATAATTACCAAGGTCTGGGACAAAGGTTTATTACTGTTTTCGCTTTCTACAGCATTTTTTTCATCCAGCATACATTTTAATTTGGTCTTGATGTCAGTGACTTTTTCTGATTCTAAAAGCTCGCTGTAAAATTATATGGCAAAAACATTCAATTAATAAGATTATGGTGAGAAATATTAGTAATAGAAAAGGTTTTTAAGGAAAATTAAATTTTCTAATGTAGAAGTAACAAACAAATGTTAACAAACAAGGAATTCATTGAGAATTAAGGAGTGATAAATGCTTGAATACTAACCCTATAAATATTCTAAGAATTCTTGTTTTACATTCATTAACAATAGGGTGTGCATATTTGCACTAATTTTGTTTTCATTCTAACTTTGTTTTTTCATTAGTAAAATTAGTATCAATTATCAACTAATACATACAATATTAATTGTTCTAATTTCTCATCATCGATTTTATCATCATCGAGGTCATCAAGAAGCTGTTGATTTTGAACATAGTCTTCCCGGACATCTTCTAAAGATAGCTGCAACTCTTCGCAAAACTCTAAAAAATAAAAAATTAATGGTAAGAAAAACTCTATTCAACAATAAACAAAACTTGCACACCATAAATTACATTATTATATGTAAAAGAAATGAACATTTTTAGTGTCTATTAATAGATATTTTAGAAATTTGTATTGCTCTTAAGTAATACAACTGGAAAGTAGCGGTTATCTGTCCCATACATAAGAAAGGTGACACGCTCTACTGCTTTAACTACAGAGGGATTTCTCTGTTGAACATGACCTAGAAAGCCTGGCAGGCACAATCTTCAACCGCCTCACACAGCATCTTGCATATGCAGGTGATGTCGAGATTATGGCCAGATCCCTTCCAGCACTGGCATGAGCTCTAGAGGAGTTTGAGGCGACAAGGGGTCTACGCATATATGAAAAGAAGACTGTCTACATGAAGAGTAGCAGACACCATCCCTTGCAGAGCAATGAAACCATAAGTATCGGCTCCCATAATTTCTCAGTATGCGAGAAGTTTAAGTACTTTGGTTCCATAATGACAGATGGTAACAATATTAAGGCTGACATTGGTGCCAGAATAGCTGCAGGAAACTGATGATATTTTTCCCTTCAGCAAGTACTGAAATCCCATGGTATGTCAAGGAAGGCATAGGAACTGGTGTACAAGACCATCATTTGTCCTGTAGCAAATTACGGCAGTGAAACATGGACAATAACGGATGAACATGAGAGAATGCTGGGAGTTTGGGAGAGGAAGATCCTGCACAAAATATACGGACCTTTGTGTGAGACAGGAGTCTGGAGAGTGAGGTACAACTGGGAGCTTACTGTACTACTGTAGGGAGAAGCAGACATTTTCAGTTTCAAGGCTTCCCGTATAAAATGGCTGGGCCATGTGGAGAGGATGCTAAGGAAAGTGCTGTATGGACAACCTGGAGGAGAAAGGATAGATAGGCAGGCCACCACCATTGAGAATTATCGTGTGTTGATTCCATAGAACAAGTTTGACCCAGAAACCAGAAGGCAATTCGAACTGTCAAACGGGAGCAGCAAATTCCCTACCGCAGATGAGGTTGTCATTTTTTTTTGAGGCATCAAATGATGTCCTCTATACTGGCTCGCTAATTTGAAATAGTACCTTCCAACAATTAAACCCACCTATCCTAACCACCCCTAACCAACAAGTCACGCACCCAGCACTCTGATAGGAGAAAAACTGGTCTTCTATTGAAATCTCCAGCCAAGCGGACGGCTTTGATCAGGGACTGTGGGAATGAGCCCATACGCCAATGGTCATATAACAGATCTCTACAGAAGTCTACTTCTCCCATCAAGGACCCCTGCCCTCACTGTAAAGAAAGGCATCCTTTGGCACAGTGTTTTAGGTTTAGGTTTCTGGCGCTGATTATCAAAGACCAATGTCCTGGAGTCGACCTGGCTGTGTCCTAATTGTCTCAGGTCTGGACATCGTATTTTTGGAATGTTGGTCAGCATTTGTGTGAATGCTTTGTGGCGATAAGCAACAGTGTGCTACATCATGAAAATTGTGTCTGTTTCAATGCAGAACCTTCCATACAATTAGGCTATTTCGTCGGGTCATACTTACGATGTTGAAGCCAGCTACGGCAATCCGTTTAAGACAGGCATCTTCCTCCTCGTTCAGGACAGGCCAGCCTCATCGAAGAAGTCCAGTTCCCCGAACCATGGCCACTCACAAAGAGTAAATGGCACTGTCTGGATATGTCTGGACACTGTCCAGAAGTAAGTTCGTTATATATCATAATCGTAACCGCTCGGTAGCGAATCATCTCGATAGCTGTTTTAAAGCCAAATTCACCCGAGAACCACGGCTTCAGACCAATATGAAAAGTATACGTCGGGATGTTCACAGGATAGTTAGATTACGAGTCCTCGCAAACACTACTCGTAATCATCTAACACCTCTCGATAGATCATGGTGTGTCAACCATAAGAGAGGAAAGATGCATATATTTGGGAGCCATAATGACATTTCAATGTCTTGCCACAAGCCGTTTCGGCATTCGGTACAAAAACACACTTTCTAACAACCTAACAGATTTTCGATCCCTTGCAGGTCTCATTTACTGTTTACAGAAACTCTCCTTCCGGAGAATAGGTTCTTACCAAATATCTATCCACGTGTGTGGATTATTTTTTTTACCGACGTATTGGTGAGATTATGAGGTACATATCTCATTTCCCCTCACAGTTGCGATTCGTCTTCAGTCAGTGGGCCTGGGCCTGGACTCATACATAGGTGGATGGCGAGGTTCCCATATTTTGCAGTTTTCCATGGCAGTAAATCTATGAGGGGAGCTTTACTTCCATTGCATCATATAATTATTCATTACTTGATTTAACTAATAATGTAACATGTCATCAATGTATACTGGGTGTCTCGGAAGTAGAGGGAAATATTTAAAAAGTTGATAGTAGACATCAAGATCTATAAAAAAGTTCATATAAACAATAGCCCAATTTTCAGTACAAAAGCATGAAATTTAAGGTATGTGTTTTTTAAAAGAGTCACGTTTTTTGTTCATAAGGATAACTAAAAACATATTTGATTTAAGTAATTACACATTACTCCATAGTACACTAGACTAAATTTAATTAAAAGGAAAGTAGAATTTATCATTTTTAAATAATTTTAAGAGGACTATTGAATGGACAAACTCAGCTAAGTTTCGTTAGAAAAAATTCATACATTTTTTTATCACCCTTCGTACTACAGTTACCCCACTTTTAGAAAAACTTCCACATTTAATTAGCTTCAAGTTCATATTAATTAAGTTGAATTTGAGATTCACCTCAAGTGGTGTAAAGAAATGATATGATTTTCTATTCCATATGTATATGATTTCCAGTCACCTAAAAGTAACGGTGTTTTTAGCCAAGAATGACAACAATTAACAGTTGCAAAGCTTTTATTTCTCGTTTTTCTGTGATATGGGATGTATTTTAATGAACTTAATTGCCTAAAATCACATTATATTTATTCAATAAAAAATTTAAAAATAGCATTTTTTCTAATATTTTTCATGTTAAGAGGTTATGAAACTGCGTTTTTCTCCCAGGTCTCATAAAAATTGTTCTATATTTATCAGTGACAAACTTAATTGTTTCTTACCAACAATTACGTTTAAACTAAACAATGTTTAATTACGTGAATAAAATATTTTTTAAGTTATCGCTTCCTATTCAACAAACAACGCAACACCCGTAACTACGTTTATTATAACCTAAACCCTAAACAAACTGTTATTTCTATTATTTTCATGAAAACGTAAATATAAGGGCTAGAAACATCAAGTGTGTCACTTATAAATAAGCATTAATTCCTATGACAGAAATCTGGCAGAAAAACACAATTATATAACCACCTTACTAGAACAATATATTATTGAAGAATCATTTTTTTTCTGTGAGATATCTGGAATATCATGGAGTTCAAACAAGAGGATTTTATCCAAAGATTTTCACATGAGAAGAGTTGCGGCCAAATTTGTACCTCGCCTTCTCAGAGGAAAGCAAAGCGAGTGTCGAATTCAGGCATGTTTTAAGCTTCAAAATCACCTCAACGAGGACCTTGAATTTTTTTCCAAAGTGATTACTGGTAATGAATCATGGTGCTATGAATACAACCCCAAAACAAAGCAGCAATCAAGGCAGTGGAAGACAGCTGGCTCTCCTCGTCCTAAAAACGCTCGCCAAGTGAAGTCAAACATCAAGACAATGCTCATTCCTTTCTTCGATATGGTGTTGTGCATGCTGAGTTCATTCCCCCGGGTCAAACTGTCAACCAGAAGTTCTACTTGGAGGTTTTGAAAAGACTGAGCAAGAGAATCCGGAAGAAAAGGGCAGATCTTTGGAGCACAGGCGACTGGTTCTTCCATCATGACAATGTGGTGACCCACTCGCAACGTAAAGTAGTTTTCAACAATAAACGGCATGAAACCGATTGTCCATCACCCCTACTCACTGGATCTAGCCCCCTGTGATTTCTTTTTATTTCCCAGACTCAAAATGGACATGAGAGGGAAGGGTTTTGCCACTGTGGAGGAGGTAAAAAAAAATTGCTGGAAGGCCTAAAGAATATCCCGATAAGTGAATTTAAAAAATGTTTTGAACAATGGAAAGATTGTTTGGAGAGGTGCATTGAGGTCAAGGGGGAATACTTTGAAGGCAATCAAAATTTGGTGTAAAAATATTCAGAAATAAAGAAGTTATGATGAAATTCCCGTTTTTTGGGTTGTACAAGAAAAGGGCTCCCAGTCATATGACATGTACTGGGCCCTCCAATTTTTTTATTATTTGTATGTCTTATTTAATTTAACACTAGAACATGCCATTAGAAAGATGTTACGTACTGAAAAATGTTTGAATACAGAGAGAAAATACTTCCTTGGGTATGTCGATGATTTGGTAGTGTTAGATGAAGACACGGAAACTATAAAAGTAAATAGAACAACACTGAGGCAGAAATGGCGATGATTTTTGAAAGATATTAAAAGGATTAGGATTGAACGCGAGGAGAAATTCAGGTATTAGGTCGATGATGATTAGAAAAAACTTTATTAAAGGGGAAATTAAGGCTAGGCTAAAGTCTGGAAACGGTAGTTATTTTTCAGTTGTGAAATTATTTGGCTCACATCTTTCATCCCAAAATTTAAAAATCAGAATTGACAAAACTATTATGCTTCTTTACAAAGTGAAACTTGGCAATTTACATTAAGGGATGAACCATGCCATAGGGTTTTGAAAAATAAAGAAAGGGTTTGAAAATAAAGTATAGAACTAAATATTTAGACTGAAGGACGAGTTAACCAGAGAATTTAGACCTCAACATAATGACAATAGCATCATTTGTACCCGAAGAGTCTAATGATTGATAATTTCTGACTATCAAAACTACCAATCCCTAAAAAATTAATGTGGACTGTGCCGAATGGTAAGCAATTGAGATTTAGACTGAAGCGAAGGTGGGAGAATTGCGTTAAGGCTG